ATTACAGTCTTTGTTTTAAAGTCTATTTTGTCTGTGTATAGCAACACCAGCTTTATGTTTGTTTCTGTTTGCATGAAATATTTTCTTCCATCCTTTCACATTCAGTCTGTGTGTGTCCTCACTTCTGAGGTGAATCTCTTGCAGGCAGCATATAGATGGGTCTTATTTTACCCATTCAGCCACTCTTGTGTCTTTTGATTGCTGCATTTAGTTCATTTACATTTAAAGTAATGATTGATAAGTGTACTTATTCCCACTTTGTTAATTGTTTTCTAGGTGCTTTTACATTTCTTCTCTAGTCCTTTCTGGCTTTCGTTAGTCTTTTGTTTAGAGTCCTTTCTCATTTTCTTTTGTGTTTTTACTGTTATGTTTTTTCTTTGTGGTTACCATGAGGATCACTTTGAATATCCTGTGTATACAATAGTCTCTTTTAAGTTGATAGCAACTTAATTTTGAACACATTCCAAAGCTTTACATTGTCCACCCATGTTTTATATTTTTAATGACACATTTTATATCGTTTTATGTTTTCCTTAATTAATTATTGTAATTTTAGTTAATTTTACTTCTTTTGTCTTTTAACCTTAACATTCACTTTATACATGATTGATCTGCTACCTCTACTGTGTACTTACCTTTTCAAGTGATAATTTTACATATGTACATTTTCTTATCTATTAGTGCCTTTTTCACTTAGAAAACTTCCTTTAACATTTCTTGTAAGTGTGACTTAGCGGTAATGAACTCTTTAAGCTTTTGCTTATCTGGAAAACTCTTAATCTCTCCTTCAAATGTTAATTTTAACCTCGCTGGGCAGAAAATTCTTGGTTGGAAGTTTTTTTTCTTTCAGCACTTTGAATATGTCATGCCACACCCTTTGGCTTATAAGTTTCTGATGAAAAAAAATCTTCAATAGCCTTATGGGATTTGCCTTATATGTAATAAGCTGTTTTTCTCTTGATGCTCTTAAGATCCTCTTTATACTTTACCATTTGAATTATAATTTGTTTTGATGTGGTACTCTTTGGGTTCATCTTATCTGGAACTCTCTGGGCTTCCTGGATGTAGGATCTGTTTCCTTTGTCAGATCAGGGAAATTTTTTACCAACTTCTCTTTAAAAAACCTTTTATTATTATTATATATTTTAATTCTCACCTGAGAATATACGTATTGATTTTAGAGAGATGAGGCAGGGAGGGGAGAGAGAAAGAGAAACATTGATCAGTTACCTCCTGTATGCATCCCAACTGGGGACCGAACCTGCAACCCAGGTATGTGCCCTCACCAGTGATCAAACCTGCAACCTTTTGGTGCATGGGATGATGCTCCCACCAACTGAGCCTCCCAGCCTGGGGCCCTTTAAATAGTTTTTATGGTCCTTTCTCTCTTCTCCTATTGGGGACTGCTAAAATGTGAATGTTATTCCACTTGATGTTGTCCCAAAGATCGCTTAAGGGTCTCCACTTTTTAAAATTTTGTTTTCATTTTGTTGCTCTGTCTGGGTCTGTTTCATTGCTTTTTTGTCCTATTTACTGAGTTTTATTTCTACTTCATCTAGTTTGCTCTTGAACCCCTCTAGTGTATTGTCCAGTTCAGTTACAACTTCTGTTTGGTATTCTTATATTTTCTATCTCTTAATGTTCTCACTATGGTCATCCACAGTTCAGTGAGCAATTTTATGATTATTACTTTGAACTCTTTATCAGGTAGGTTGCATATCTCTGTTTAATTAAATTTTTCTGGGTTTGGTTTTTTCTTTGGTTTGAAACATTTGTTTCCTCATTTTACCTGACTCCTTGTATTTGTCTATGTATTAGACAAACCTCTCCCAGTCCTGAAGGGGTGTGGCCTTATATAGGAGATGGATGATCTGTGGGGCCCAGAAGCACCATCTCCTCTTCCTACCAGAGCGAGGCACTCAAGGTGCATCCTTTGTGTGGGCTGTACTTACTCTTGGCCTGTGGCAGGGCCAGCTGCGGTATGAGGTGGGCTGGTTGCAGGGTACTCTTCTGGTCAGGCTGTGGTGCAGCAGCTGCATGGGTAGGATGGGCCATAGTGTGCTTGCCTGACTGGTTATAGTGTGGCTACTGGTTGGGGTAGGCAAGGCATGGCTGTTTACCTGGCCTGATAGTAGCATGGAGTGGGAAGAGCATTCTACCTGTGCTTGCAGGCCAGAGGAATGGCACCAAAAATGGCACATACCAGTTCTGTCACTAACAATTTGGAATGAGATTGCAAAAATGATGTTAACCAGTGCTTCTGCCCCTGGGGAAAGTCTTAGCAGGCTCTTGCCTCTCTGGCACTCAATTTAAGTTTTGTGAGTGGGTCTCCCTCATGTTCTAAGCCCTTTCAAACTATTGCTTTGGTGCTGGATCTCAGGGTGAGTGGGTCTGCACATGATCCCTTTAAGAGCAGGTTCTCTATTCCTTACTATTTTGTGTTTCTCCTGGACTTAATCCCCATTGATTTTCAAAACCAGACATTTGGGGGCTAGTTTTTCTGGTTCCAGATCCCAGGGTTGGGCTGCCTGATGTGGGCTGTAATCCCTTTACTATTCAAAGGAGATTTCCATATTTTTTTTGGATTCCTTCTATTTGTAGCTAGGTCACCATGCCTGGGGTGGGGACCCAGGGAAGCCTGTGTCTCTGCCTCTCTCCTACCCGTCTCAATGCATCTCTTTTACCTTTGCTGTGGAGTTGCTGTTCCTCTAACTCCCAGGTCCTCTTCTGGGGACAATTATTCTATGTGTAGCGATAAGTTTGTTGTATCCAGGGTCTTCCAATGCCTCTGTCCTGAGCCAGAATCTTCACTGTTTTAAATCTTGATATGCACTGTTTCCATGAGGTGCTAGTTGACTCTGAGCCATCTACTAGCTTATTGCACTTATGATCTGTACCACATCTTAACACTTAATTTTATGCTGTTCTTTTTGCAATTAAGTTGTCTGTTTTAGACTTATCTCTCCCAGTTGAGGCCTGGAACCATGTTATGCTACCATACTGATTCTTACAGTCCCTTAAATACTTGGTTGTACATCATTTGTTTCTTCTCTAATCTCATACCTTGTGATCAAGTTTGTGTTGCTGCTAGTGTTCTGTACAATTTTATGGTTTAACATTTTATTATGGAAATATTCAAATATATACTAAAGTGGATGGAATAGTCTAAGGAACCCTTATGTACCATAACCTCGCTTCAACAATTATCAGCGTATGATCTCCTTGTTTTAATTATATTCCCATCTTTCTCCCCTGCCCTGTTCCTTGGTAATTCTGGAAACAGATCCCAAATATCTTTCATCTATAAGTACTTCAGTGTTTACAATTCTTTATTGATTTATATCTGATCAGGAATTTTTAACATTTTATCTATTCCTAGTTTCATTTATATCATATACTTTTTGTTTGCTCTAAAGTAGAACCTGAACTTTGACAAATTTCAGTAAATATTTATTACATAATGTAGTTACTAGGCATAGCAAACTCCTCTGGGGTATGTAAAGATAAATGCACACAAACCCCACTCTTAAGGAGCATATTACAGTTTAACAGGTAAGAAAAGACCTTTCAAAATACATATTGTGGTTAAGTGCTAACATAAGGTGAGATCCAAGTATGTGGGAGGAGGGATCAATTTTTTTTTTTTGTAAGGGAAGATTGGTATAGGCTTCATAGAAAAGATAGTGTTTGAGAGAAGGGGAGAAGCAGCCAAAGGGGTAAAGGAATGCCTGTGTATTGGCACTTTCTATGTGACTCTATGGATACCACATCCAGTGACATTTGGGCTTCACAGAGTTCACATAGAGCTACTAGTCAGAGAGTCAAGTAGGGAAGTGCTAGGGCTGGAATTGGAATTCAAGTGTGTGTGACTCACGTAACTCCCTGAATTAGACCTTGGCCTGCCTTAGATTTTCCACTAGATAATATAGTAGAGGAGGGGAAATAGTGGATAAGGACTTTCCAGGTGGAGGGACTAGAGTTCCTAAAAATAAATAAAAGTATAGGAGTTTTTTAGAGACCCATTTGGGATCCAGGGTGGCTACAACTTAGGGATTTTGAAGAAGTATCCAGTAGGAGATAATGCTGGCTTCTACTATGTGGTATAATAAAATCATGGAAGGCTTCAAAGGCTCTATTAAGGAGTTTGGATATTGTTATCTTTTATTTCAGGAGCTGTTGAAAATTTCTTAGAGATGAGGAGAAATGTAGTCAGACCTGAAGTAGTGTGTGTCGCCTAGATTGCCCCATGTTTCCCATACCTTTCTTCTTAAAACTTTCCTAATTAGACATGAGGGAAACAATTATAACTTTCTATTTAAGTTTCATCTAAATAGTGACCAGCCCTGTGTTTAAGGATGCCATAGAATAAATAGGGGGAAAAAAGTTTTAAATGCTTCTTAGGTGAGTGATTCGTAGTCTTGCTGGGAAAGTATTTGTGAAGTGACTATAATGTTTCATGTTTTGTATGCCATCTTGACTTAATTATGAGGGCCTTTTTAAAAGAGTTTTATTTGTAAACAATCTCAAATGTACAAATAAATTGCAAAACTAAAAATAGTCCAAAGAATTCCTGTGTCTTTTATACAGATCACCTATTTTCAATATTTTTCTCCATTTGCTTATCATTCGTACTCTATCATTACATTTTTTGCTCTCTCTTTCTCTATCTGTACATGAATTTTTTTTCTTAACCATTTAAAGGTTCCATACATCACGATCCTTTATCTCTCAATACTTTGTATGTATTTCTTAAGAACAGGGATATTTTCTTACACAATCATAGTATAGTTATCAACCAGCAAATTTAACATTGATATAATTTCATCTACTAGTCATATTCCAATTTGACTATTGTCTTTTTTATGTTTTCTTAACTGTACACATTCCACAGTCCATTGTATCGTAGCTTTTAATAAATATTTGATTGTTAGCAGTAATTTTTTTTCTAGCATTATAGTCTTAATTTTTTGAATAGCTTTCTTATCTGAAATTCTCCTCAGGTGATTCGGGATGTGATAAATGTGCACATGGAAGAACTCAGTAACCATTGGCAGGAAGAGCAGGAAAGAGCAGAGGATGATGCTGAAAAGTATGTCATTGTGTTTATTGGTAAAAAACACTCTCTTTTGAAACTGTTACCTACAACTGTTGAACTGAATTTTAGCATTTCCAAGGCCATTGGTAGCACAGTATAATTCATCAGAATGCTTATTGTTTCTTGCCACTGCTCAAGGTTATTAATACCAGAGTTGTAAAACATTTTATAAAAACTTTGTTTCATTGATTGCCCTCTTCAAAGGAATGTAAGATTATACATATTTATTTAGACACTGTCTATCATTGTTCTGAAACAGAATATTGGACTTCAGGCTGGTCCATACTGAAGATGAGTGGTTAAAACTACTTGATTAATGTTCCTTTCTATGCTTCAGGAATGAAGAAAGGCGATCAGCTTCAGTAGACTCACGACAATCTGGTGGAAGCTATTTGGATGCTGAGTGTTCACGACACAGAAGGGATCGGAGTAGGAGCCCACATAAACGAAGAAGAAATAAAGATAAAGATAAAAACTGGGACTCAAGAAGAAGAAAAGAGAGGTAATCTATCACAGTATCATCCAACACTGACTTGTTTACTTTTGAAGAGTAGACAGTTTATTCTCTTATAGACAATGTTTAAAAAAAGAGACTATAAGAGTAAATTATGGTAAGGAAAGTAAATAGTCCTATTTCAGTTCACATAAACATAGCTGTGGTGACATAGTTCTCTGTATGCCTGACTGGATATGGGTTTCCCTGTTTTCTTACTTTCTAACTAGGGCATATGACAGTCATGTCTAGGTAGAAAGTTACCTGTGTTAAAAAGGTGTTTGCTTTTTTTCCTGCTAGCCCCTCCTTCCCTCCCTCCCTTCCATCCTACCTCTCTTTATCCTTTCTTTTTTCCTTAATTCCTCAGGTAAAAGGTATATAGTGTCAGAGGGAAGATCCAAACTTTAATCAGTCAGGTTTGCCCTTATTAGTATCCCTGATAAAATTTTGATAGCTGAGAGATACAAATTAACACTAAAATAATAAATTTAAAGCAGTTGAGGTCTATTCCTACATTTCAGCTGCCTCCTGGACATCTGCCGAGATCTCAAGTTCAGCAAAGCTATAACTGAACTTAACTTTTTCTCAGTCTGCTCCTTTTTCCCCGGTTTTTTTTGGCCCGGTTAATGGATGATCATCATTTGTTCATTTAAACCAGAGTATTCATGTCAGATACTCCTTTTTTTATTCCTTAACATCTCGTCTTAATTGCCATCAGTTCCACGTGAAGATACCTCATATACAAATTCTCCGCCTCTGTCATTATTGCTGTCCATCTGGAAAACGATGGTGGTTTTCCTAATTGTTCTACCGGTCTCAAAGCTTGTCCCTTACGGATTTAGCCCTTCCCTACAGCTGGAGTGAATTTCCACCTCTTAAAATTCTTCAGTGGCAAAATTCACTTTCCTTAGCATGGCTCTCAAGACCTCCAGGATCAGGGCATCTGCCTGCCTATCATTCTCTTTTGCCACTACCCATGAAATGCATATCTTACGCTTTCCCCAGCCTGAATTATACAGATCCTCATCCATGTTGTGCTATGTTTGTACCTTTCCGTGTCATGTTCTGCTGCCTAATTTTTTTTTTTTTAAACCTGCTCGGTAAACTCATCTTTTGAGACCCAGCATAGTCATTCCCATGAAGCCTTTTTTTCAGTACACTCAAATAGAGCTGATCTTTACTCTTTTCTTACCTGTCTACCTGGCACGTGCTTTTTTTTTTTTTCCAGTAGAATTTTATTTTCTTATTTTTTTATTTTTTTTTAATTTATTTACTTTTTAAATACATTTGTCTCTGCCTCCCCCCACTCCTTTTCCCTTGCCCCCTCCTCCCTTCCCTCCCTCAGCTCTTCCCCTTTGGTTTTGTCCATGAGTCCTTGCTATATGTTCCTTGACTTTCCCCTTCCCTTCCCTTTCCCTGCCCCCCCCTTCCCTCTTGTCTCTGTTGATTTCTTTTCCTTTCAGTGTTGCTGGTCATATTTTCCTTGCATCTTTGCATTGTTGGTTAGGTTCTGCTTATAGGTGAGATCATATGGTATTTGTCTTTCGCCCCCTGGCTTATTTCGCTTAGCATGATGCTCTCCAGTTCCGTCCATGCTGTCGCGAAGTTTAGTAGTTCTTTTTTTCTTTCTGCTGCGTAGTATTCCATTGTGTATATGTACCATAATTTTTTGATCCACTCATCTACTGATGGGCATTTATGTTGCTTCCAACACTTGGCTATTGTAAATTGTGCTGCTATGAACATTGGGGTGCATAGGTTCTTTTTTATTGGCGTTTTGGTGTTCTCAGGGTATAGTCCCAGCAGGGGAATCGCTGGATCAGAAGGCAGTTCCATTTTCAGCTTTCTAAGGAAATTCCACACTGCTTTCCATAGTGGCTGCACCAGTCTGCATTCCCACCAACAGTGTAATAGGGTTCCCTTTTCTCCACAGCCTCGCCAGCACCTGTTGTTTGTGATCTGTTTATGATGGCCATTCTGACCGGTGTGAGGTGGTACCCCATGGTGGTTTTGATCTGCATTTCTCTGATGGCTAGTGATGCTGAGCATCCTTTCAAATGCCTCTGGGCCCTCTGTATCTCCTCCTTAGAAAAGCATCTGCCCAGGTCCTTTGCCCATTTTTTGATTGGATCGTTTGTCTTCTTGGAGTGGAGTCGAGTGAGTTCTTTATACATCTTGGAGATCAAACCTCTATCTGATGTATCATTAGCAAATATATTTTCCCATACGGTTGGCTCCCTTTTCATTTTGCTTATGTTTTCTTTCGCCGTGCAGAAGCTTCTTATTTTGATGAGGTCCCACTTGTTTATTCTTTCCTTTATGTCCCTTGCTTTAGGAGACATATTGGTGAAAAAATTGCTGTGTGGGATATCTGAGAGTTTCCTGCCAATGTTTTCCTCTAGGACTTTGATGGTGTTGTGACTTATATTTAAGTCTTTTATCCATCTTGAGTTTATTTTTGTGTATGGTGTCAGCTGATGATCCAATTTCAATTTTTTGCATGTAGCCGTCCAGCTCTCCCAACACCATTTGTTGAAGAGGCTGTTATTGCTCCATTTTATGCTTCTGCCCCCTGGTCAAATATTAGATGCCCATAGAGACCTGGGCTTATTTCTGGGCTTTCTATTCTGGTCCACTGGTCTATGGGTCTGTTCTTGTGCCAGTACCAGATTGTTTTGAGTATGGTGGCTTTGTAGTAGAGTTTGATGTCCGGTATTGTGATCCCTCCTACTTTGTGTTTCTTTCTCAAAATTGCTGCGGCTATTCGGGGTCGTTTATGGTTCCATATAAATTTTTGAAATGTCTGTTCTATTTCTGTGAAATACGTCATTGGTATCTTAATAGGGATTGCGTTGAATGTATAAATTGCTTTGGGTAGTATGGACATTTTGAGGATATTAATTCTTCCAATCCATGAGCACGGTATATGCTTCCATTTATTTGTGTCTTCCTTAATTTCTTTTTTCAATGTTGTATAGTTTTCTGCATACAGGTCTTTTGTGTCTTTGGTTAAATTTATGCCTAGGTACTTTATCTTTTTTCTTGCTATATCGAATGGTATTTTTTTTCTGATTTATTCTTCTTCTATTGCATTGCTGGTGTACAAAAACGCCTTTGATTTCTGAATGTTGACTTTGTGTCCTGCTGTTTTGCCAAATTCACTTATTAGGTTGAGGAGTTTTTTGGTAGAGTCTGCAGGGTTCTCTATGTACACTATCATGTCATCTGCAAACAATGATAGTTTTACTTCCTCCTTTCCTATTTGGATGCCTTTTATCTCTTTCTCTTGTCTGACCTCTGTGGCTAGGACTTCCAATATGATGTTGAAAAGAAGCGGTGAGAGCGGACATCCTTGGCGTGTTCCCGATCTTAGTGGGAAAGCTTTCAGTTTTTGGCCATTGAGTATGATATTGGCTGTAGGTTTTTCATATATGGCCTTTATTATGTTGAGGAATACCCCATTTATTCCCATTTTGCTGAGTGTTTTGCTCATAAATGGGTGCTGTACCTTATCAAATGCTTTTTCTGCATGTATCGAGATGATCATGTGGTTTTTGTCTTTTCTTTTATTTATGTGATGTATCACGTTTACTGATTTGTGTATATTGAACCATCCCTGCATCGCTGGGATGAATCCCACTTGATCGTGGTGGATAATCTTTTTAATGTATTGCTGGATGCGGTTTGCCAATATTTTGTTGAGGATTTTAGCATCTATGTTCATCAGCGAAATTGGCCTGTAGTTTTCTTTCTTTGTAGGGTCTTTATCTGGTTTTGGGATCAGGGTGATGCTGGCCTCATAGAAGGAGTCTGGGAGTCTTCCCTCCTCTTGGATTTTTTGGAATAGTCTGAGAAGGACAGGGGTCCTTAAATGTTTTGTAAAATTCTCCTGGGAAACCGTCTGGCCCTGGGCTTTTGTGTGCTGGGAGTTTCTTGATTACTGCTTCAATATCCCCAGCTGTTATCGGTCTGTTCAAGCTTTCTGTTTCTTCCTCCTTCAGTGTTGGAAGATTATACTTTTCTAAAAATTTGTCCATTTCATCAAGATTTTCAAATTTCTTGGCATATAATTGTTCATAATAGTTTCTGATGATCATTTGTATTTCTGTGGTATCAGTTGTTATTTCTCCTCTTTCATTTCTGATATTATTAATTTGGGTCCTCTCCCTTTTGTTCTTGATGAGTCTGCTTAAAGGCTTGTCAATTTTATTAATCTTTTCAAAGAACCAGCTTCTGGATTGGTTGATCCTCTGAATTGTTCTTTTTGTTTCTGTGTCATTCCGTTCTGCTCTAATCTTGACTATTTCCTTCCTTGTACTTGCTCTGGGATTTATTTGTTGTTATTTCTCCAGTTCTTGAAGTTGTAGTGTTAGGTCTTTTATTTGAAATGTTTCTGTCTTTTTTAGGTAAGCCTGTATTGCTATGAACTTCCCTCTCAGGACCACCTTTGCTGTGTCCCATAGGTTTTGGACAGTTGTCTGTTCATTTTCATTTGTTTCCAGAAATTTTTTGATTTCTTCTCTTATCTCATTATTGACCCATTCATTGTTTAATAGTGTTCTGTTCAGTCTCCATGAGTTTGCAAGTTTTTGAAGTTTCTCTTTGAGGTTGATTTCGAGTTTCAAGGCCTTGTGGTCTGGCAAAAAGTTTGGTATTATTTCAATTTTCCTGAATTTGCTGAGGCTTGCTTTGTGTCCTGTCATGTGGTCTATCTTTGAAAAACTGCCATGAGCATTTGAAAAGAATGTGTATTTTTCTTCTTTGGGATGTAAGGTTCTATATATGTCAGTTAAGTCTCTTTGATTAAGTGTGTCATTCAGCGCCACGATATGTTTATTAATGTTTTGTTTGGAAGATCTGTCCATTTTTGACAGTGGGGTGTTGAAATCCCCTACTATCAGTGTGTTGCTGTCTATATCTTTTTTGAAGTCATCCAACAATTTCCTTTTAAACTTGGGGGCTCCTATACTGGGAGCATATAAGTTTACAACGTTGATGTCTTCTTGATAGATTCTTCCTTTAAGTATGATAAAGTACCCCTCTGGGTCTCTCTTTATGGCCTTTGTTTTGAAATCTACTTTGTCTGATACAAGTATGGCAACGCCAGCCTTTTTCTCATGCTCATTTTCTTGGAATATTATTTTCCATCCCTTTACTTTCAATCTGTGTAGGTCTCTTGCTCTGAGGTGGGTCTCTTGTAGGCAGCATATGTGTGGGTCATGTTTTCTTATCCATTCAGCTACCTTGTGTCTTTTGATTGGGGCATTTAGTCCATTCACATTGAGAGATATTACTGATAGAAACTTACTCATCTTTTCTCTTTGTACTTGGGTTCCTCTCTGTCTCATTCTTTTCCTTCATCTGCTTAAACCAGTCCCTTAGCATATCTTGGAGTGCTGGTTTGGTAGAGATGTATTCTTTTAGCCTTCTTTTGTCTGGGAAACTCTGTATTTCTCCTTTTATTTTAATGGAGAGCCTACCTGGGTAGAGCAGCCTTGGCTGTAGGCCCTTGCTTTTCATGGCTTGGAATATTTGTTGCCATTCCCTTCTGGCTTGTAGTGTTTCTGTGGAGAAGTCAGCTCCTAGGCGTATCGGGGCCCCCTTGTATGTTACTTTCTCCTTCTCCCTTGCTGCCTTGAGGATTCTCTCTTTGTCTTTGACATTTGCCATTTTAATGATGATGTGTCTTGGAGTGGACCTCCTTGAGTCCCTCTTGAGTGGGGTCCTCTGTGCCTCCTGGGTCCATGAGAGCCTTTCTCTCCTCAAATTAGGGAAATTTTCCATCATTACTTTTTCGAGGAGGTTCTCTATTCCTTGCTCCTCTTCTTCTCCTTCTGGTATCCCTGTTATACGGATATTATTGCGTTTCAGGTTGTCCTGCCTTTCCCTAAATGCCTCTTCATTCTTTTTGAGCCGTTTTTCCATTTCTTGTTCTTTCTGGGAGCTTTTTTCTACCTTGTCCTCCATCTCACTGATTCGGTCCTCGGCTTCATCTAGCCTGCTTTGGATTCCTTCTACTGTGTTCTTCAATTCAGAAATGGTATTCTTCATATCCTCTTGTGTCTTCTTGATAGTTTCTATGTCCTTTTCCAGGCTGATATAGTTCGCTGTAAGATCCTGATAGTTTCTCTGCAGTTTCTCATAGTTCTCTTTGAGCTGGCTGAGCTCATTGAGCTTCCTTAGAACCATTGTTTTGAATTCCATATCTGATAGTTCCCTTGCCTCTATTTCATTTAGCGCTCTCTGTGGGGAGTCCCCTTTTCCACTCATTTGAGGGGAACTTCTTTTTCTTCCCATTTTTGTGAGAGTCTGTTAAGTATTTTTGTCCTTTACTTTTCTTTCTGGGCTTGCCTCTGATGATGTCAGTTGTTGACTGTATAGGGCCTTGGGTTGGTTGTTTGAGCCTTTCAGGAGTCTAATGCCTATGCCTGACTCCTGCTTGGAGCAGCTCTGTGACCCCTTTGGTCAGGGCTGGGCTATTTTTTGGGATCTCTCTGCACTCTCACGGGGGCTCCTTGAGCGCGTTCCCAGCGCGGCAGGGTCCCCCACCTGTCTGGGCTCGCATGTGCTTGCCCCACACCAGGGGGCTTATTCGCGACCTCGCGTACTCATCTGGCCCCCCTGGCACGCGAGCTTCGCGGCACTGGTCAGTTTAGGGTTTTCTCTTGTGTATTTTCCCAGCTTTTGGCTCTTTGGGTGCGTTGCTTGCCCTTGCCAAATGGGGACTACGGAAATGGGAGGAAATCAGCTCTAGGACTCTCCGGTTAATCCTGTTTCTGGTCTCTCCTCCAGGGACTCTGGGCAGCTCTACTTATTTTGTGGGCCGCTCCGCAATCACCGTGGGCAGGTCAATTTACGCCTGCCCTTGCCCCTCTGTGCACTCCTTCGCAGGCCGTATGGGTGCCAGTCTTTGTGAGGCCTTGCCGGCAGGTGCAAGCGTTCGCCAGCCCGCGTGGGTCACACACACGCTCGCCAGCCCTCGCCGGTCACTCGACGCAAGTGTGCGCGCCTGCTCTGGGTGTTTTGGGGGTGTCTATGTTTGCTTTTCAGCTTTTGGCTCTTTGGGGGTGTGGCCTGGCATGTGCTTTTAATTGAACTTAATTATTACTCTCCCTACTAGGCTGTGAGTTCTTTCAGGGGAGGCCCATGTCTTATTTAGTATTATGTGCACAGTGCTTGTCTAATAAGGGGCTGTCAAACAATGTTTTGTCTCTCCTGTGCCACTGGTGATCAAGAATTAGTAAGGCTTATTGGTTTAATAATTTTGCTCAACTTTACTATATTCAGTTCATAGGTTTAAAACTAGCAATAATTTAGTCCTCTTATAAAAATGAAATACTTGCTCGGTAATCCCTTTTGATTTATATAATGAATGATATAATAATTTTTTACAAATTAACTCTTGATTCGCTATCAGAAATCATACTCCTTAACTTCTTTCTAGTTTGTTTGTGCTTCTTCCAATTAAATAAATTTTGACATGTCTGATCAATCCCTGTGACTTAAATACATTAGACAGCCTCAAAATCTAAGCACAGATAATTTTCTTTTAGAGAAGATAAACTGAGTATTATCAGGAAATATTTCTCAATAGGCTAATCTTTGTTATTCCCCTTAAGATGGAATGAATTGTGGGAAGTTGAGATAGGAGCCAGGATAAGGACGGCAGACGGTTTCTGAATTTCTTCTATGATTTTAGTATTCTATTTGAAATGAATTCTCTGGTCATCAACCGTTTACATATATTCAAAGTTAATTTTAGACCTCACTGGTGTAGCCAGTGGGTTGGGCATTATTCTGCCAACTAAAAGTTCACCGTTTGATTCCCTGTCAGGGCACATGCCTGGGTTGCAGGCATGTGAGGAGCAGCCAATCAATGTTTCTCTTGCACAACACCAGTGTTTCTTTCTTTCCCACAACACCAGTGTTTCTTTCTCTCCCTTTCTTTCTCCCTTCCTTGCTCTCTTAAAATAGGTGAATAAAATCTTAAAAGAGAAAAAAGCTAATTTTAAAGTGGAATGCTGAAGTGCAGTTTTGAAAAAAATACATTTTGTTTTTCTCCATCTCAATTTTGTCCCTTAGATTTCAATGATGCATTTTCCATGTTTACTCTTAAAAAATCACTGTTTAGTTCTAAATGCATGTTTTAATTTGTTCTGGTTTATATCTGATGTGGGTATACTACTGAAGAATTATTATTTTACAGCTCTTCTATTAAAATGTCCATCATTTATGATAGTTTTTTCACCCCTTTCATTTCAGGGATGGGGAAAGACATCATAGTCATAAAAGAAGAAAGCAAAAAGTATAAATGAAATATTTGTGCAGGTATTAATTATGCTGATATCATGATAACCAGGATACTGATATTTTCATTGTAATTGCTTTGAGTAGGAGAATGTATTTATATGAACTGTTTAGTGCTCAGATCATTATTTTTAGTAAATGCTTATGTCTCAAACCATGAGTACTATTATATCCCATAACTTTGTTTTCCTTATATTTTAATAGATGATTGTTTCCTATTACTCATGGGTTTTTTTTTTTTTAATTTCTTGATAATTATGTAGCAAAAAATCCTTTCGTTAAAGTCAGTACTTGAATTATATAAATAATACATGACTACATCCTCATTGTAAAAAATCCAACCTTCCAGCCCTGGCTGGCATGGCTCAGTTGGTTGGGAATCATCCTGCAAAGCAAAGTGTCACCAGTTTGATTCCCAGTCAGGGCACGTGCCTGGGTTGCGGGCCAGTCCCTTGTTGGGGCTCGTGTAAAGGACAACCAATCAATGTTTCTCTCCCTCTTTTTCTCCCTCCCTTACCCTCTCTCTAAAAATGAATAAATAAAATCTTCCAAAAAAATTAAGCCTTACAGTGAAGGCTAAACTTCCCTTGGAACACCATATGCAATCTCTAGGGATACCCCAGTGGTAACTACTATTTATCACTACACACGTGACTTGCAACAGGGAAAAACAACCTAAATATTTGGCAGGAGAGGGAAAGGTCTGGCTAAATAAAATATAGTCCTATAATAGATTACTGTATTGGATTTAAAAGAAATAAACTTTATATTAACATGGATAGATCTCAGAAACATAATGTTAAGTGAAAATAGCAAGTTGCAGAAAGATATGTACAAGTTATATCTTTGTACAACACAATACTGTATGTTTTCAGTGGCTATGTGTATATGTAAATATATTTTTAAAGGTTCAGAAGAACCCATACCAAATGCACAACAGTGATTTTGGGGGGAGATAGTATAATTGGGATAGATAAGGGGTGGCAGTGAGGATTGGGGGGGTGGTCAAAGGAAACTAGTTTTATCCATAATACATTAATTTTTTTAAAATAATATGTTCATGTTTTACTTGTTAATTAAAAATTGTCATTTTCTTTTTTAAAATGAATTTAAAATACTGTGATTTTGTTTTTGTAAACTAAGTGTATTGAGGTACTGTTTCTATAAACTAAAACGCATCCATTTTAAGTGTACATGTCATTGAGCTTTGATCGTCTTGTATTCCCTATATGACTATCCCCTCAGTCAATATAGAGGACATTTCTATCACCCCAAAAAGTTCCCTTAAACCCCTTTCTACACTCTTTTCCTCTACCCCTAGCTGCAGGCAACCACAGAGCTGCTTTTTGTTATTGTTGCTTAGATATATCTTTTCTAGAATTTATATAAATGGAATACTGCAATATCTACTCTGCCTTCCTCCATTCCACATATTTTTGAGACTGATGCATGTTGTTGTGTCACTAGTCAGTCCCTTTTTGTTGCTAGCAGTATATTCTGTCATATGGTAGACCATCCAGTGAAACTTTAGCTTTAAATGTTAAGCATCTCATACCTGAATAGCAATATCATGAATATTGGTAACCTAGCTTAACGATCCCAAACTAGGTTTCAGATAGAAATGAAACCTTAATTATTTCAATATGTAACTGACAAAGATAGAAAGGTTGACTTGATTTAGATCAGGTTGGCTGGTAGGCTTCAGGTATAGAAAATAGCTCTCAGATTTATGAGTTGGAAAGAGGTCACTGCACTGGCCAATGTGAAGTTGTACTGCTGCTATTGTACTTAATTTCTAAATATCTAAAATTCAGATTTAAAAATCTTAACAACAAGGACTTTGGAGTTACCGCAATGTTGAGGTATATGAAGTGGCAGCTTTTGTAGATCAAAATGATTTGAATGATCAACAGTTTGCTGTAGTGTAACTTAACTTACAATTTTGGTTTTTATCATGATTTTAATGATTTCACTAACTGGAAGAAACTAAAGAGTAAAAATAAAAGACACATTTGGGTTCTTAGTAGAAGAAAAGTCAGTGGAAAGGGGGAGTAGAATGGTAGGATTGGGGAAAAATAGCATAGTATGGAAAAAGGAGATGATCTAAAATGTAAGCAGAGTTCTTTAAAGTCCAAAATTTTAAGTATTGTAACTACTGCAAACTAACCAATAGAATGTAGAATTAGGTAAGAGGTATTTGTTGGAACCTTGAACATATTAATTTTCCATGCTTAGCTATTTATGTTTCAGACTTCTTCATCAATATAACCCACATGTCTAGCATATAATAGTTGTTAACTTGTTATTTTAAATTTTGACAAGAGCTTTTGCAGACCCTTGTCGCATAATATCTAAGTATTTATAAAATGCTGATACTAGTAATTACTGTACAACTGCTGTCCATCTTACCCATCCACTAAATCCGAGCTCAGATGATATCTTCTGACCTACATTTCTGATCTACTGACTGTACATTTTAAAAATTTTATTTATTTATTTACTTCTAGAGAGAGGGGGAGGGAGGGAGAAAGAGAGGGAGAGAAACATCAATGTGGGGTTGCCTCTTGAGAGCCCCCTACTGGGATCCCTGTCCACAACCCAGGCATGTGCCCTGACTAGGGATTGAACCAGTGATCCTTTGGTTCACAGGCTGGTGCCCAATCCACTGGGCCACACCAGCCAGGGCTCTCTTGAACTCTTTTAAAAGCACTAAGGATAGTTAGCGTTTATCAAGCACTTACTATGTGGCAGACTCTGTTCTGAGCTTTTTATATTGTAAAATATACATAAAATTTAACATTTTCACCATTTTTAGGTGTATAATTCAGTGGCACTAAGTACCTTCACATTGTTGTACAACCACCACTACTGTCCATCTTTGGAATGTTTTTATCTTCCCCAACTGAAACTCTGTAGCTATTAAACAGCTCTCCATTTACTCCTTCTCCGAGCCCCCGTAACCATCATTCTACTTTGTGTCTATGAATTTGACTATTCTAGGTACCACATATAAGTAAAATTACAGAATATATTTTTATGCCTCACTTATTTCCCTTGGCATACTGTTTCCAAGGCACACCCATGCTGTAGCATATGTCAGAATTTCTTTTTTAAAGCTAAATAATATTTTATTGGGGGTGTGTGTGTGTGTGTGTGTCGGGGGGTGTGCGTGCGTGTGTGACATTTTGTATACCTGTTTATCCATGGATGAACTTGTGCTGCTTCTACTTTTTGGTTATTGTGATTAATGCTGGTGTGAACATGGGTGTAAAACATCTGTTTGGCTCCTTGCTTTCAGTTCTTGTGAGCGTATGCCATATTTTGTCATGTATAATGTGCACTTTTTTGCCCAAACTTCTGAGGGAAAAATAAGGACGTGCATTATATGTGGGTAGTACTAATTCTGTATCTATATAAATGTTTTTAATTCTTTTATTTATGCTTATGCATTAAAAGTGTACCTCTAGAAAGCAATAATGATATCCATAGGCACAATAATACCCTAGAATATGATAATTGGTTTTGTAACTAAATATAAATAAATAATTGGATTTTAAAAATTAAACGAAAAGATTTTTTTCCTGAAAGTTTGGGCCAAAAACATGGGTGAACATTATACATGACAAAATACGGTACCTAGAATTCTGTGTAATTGCTGTGTCATAAGTCAATTTAATTTTTTAAGAAACCACCAAACTGTTTTCCACAGTGTTTGTATGTTGCTATACTTCTGTCAGCAATGCCCCAGGGATCCGGTTTCTCTACATCCTTGGCAATACTTGTTATTTCCTGGTGTTATTTTGTTTTTGATAATAATCATCCTAATGGGTGGGAAGTGGTATCTCACTGTGATTTTGATGAGCTCTTCATATTAAACTTACTTAATTCTCATGAAACACCACTCTGAGATGTAAGTACTATTATCACCATTTTAGAAATGAGGAAACTAAAGCTCATGAGTTAAAACTTGCTCTACTTCTTGAAGAAAGTTGTGAAGCTAGAATTCCAATCCAGGCAGTCTTGCTCCAGGGTGTACTTTCATTTTTGTCCCCTTATATTATAATTATGTATTGTTTCTTATGTATAAGTTTTGCCCTCAACTAGGTTTTTTAATTTTTTTAGTGTAAAATACATGATGATTGTCTTTGCATTCCCAGAGTGCTTAATATAATTCTTAAATGATGGAGGTGACAGGTGTTTATGGATGAGGAAATTTAGGCAAACAGATGCTTAGTTTTTCCCCTCAACATACAAGTCAACAAAAGTTGGAATTAGAGTCCCTGCTCTTAACTGCTATATACACCACTTTATTAACTGTGAACCCGCTTTAATGTTCTGACATGGGAGGTAGTATCTGTCTTCATGGCCGTCTCTTCATATCCACCAGAGTTCTCTGAGCTCCTTTATAAAATCCAAGAATATTGAACATCTTATCACTTCCTATTCTGTTAAACTCAAACTGATCCATAAATAAACTTGCATTGTATCTTGATACCATTTAGTTATGTACCAAAGTTGGTTGCATTGATCAACTTTACATATCAAGATTTCACGTGAAGGCATGGAAGTATCTCTCAGCCTCTCCTAAAATTAAGACTGCTGGACAGTTAAATGCCAGGTTCCTGGATGAATCTCAATCAACATAAGGAAGTTGGAATCAGCTGAGGAACAACTCAGATCAGGTTTATCTTCTTGTCCACTTCATCCCATCTCCTGCTCATCCTGAGGAAGAGGATGGGGGTGTGGTTTCCATCTACCATCGGAAAACTGCTTATTGAAGTTCAAGAGAGGAGGCATTTGTGAGCAAAAGAAATTAAGGGAGCTTTTCAGATACTTAGGCTGACATTTGTTCTTAAATTGATACATTAAGGCAGCTGCTATGCAGCACTCAGGGCACTGATTATGTTCAGTAAGAAATTGAACTCATTCGATTTTACATATGATCAGTGATCTCCAAGTATTTGCCACTTTTGATTAAGGCTGATTGGATAATCTTAAACCTTTTAGTGATAATGGTTATCAAATGGTATATTTGAGATAAAATATTTTAAATTGGCATTGAAAAATATTTTTTAAAGTTAAATAATATCACCCATGTATTCTATAGTATGGGAATATTAATACTATAAAACTGTGCATAGGGTCTACTGAGTATGCCTTTTTTTTTTTTCTTTTTTTAATGTTTAGTGAGTTTGTAAAGGCCCAAGGGTTTTGGTGTAAAGCTTTGTTAAATTCCAAGAGTAAAAAAAATAAAGTCCATTCATAGATGAATATGTTTATGAGGCCAGTTTCTTTTTGTGTATTTTGCTTTTGAGTCGCCATACTTAAGCCAGCAGGTGTATTACTTATTAAACAAAAGCTCTTTTAAACCACACTGTTTTATTACCTTAGTGATTGTACTTCCTACTCTGGTAACAGATTTGGGAGTTTGGTGTTATAGAAAGTCCTCACAGGTTCTGGATATTTTGATTGGGACCAGTAATTTTTAGTGTTCCTTTTTGGAAAATAAAAAAATATATTTTGTCAGACTTAAAAAGCTGCAAACTGGATTCATCCTTACTGATCAAGCTGAGTCACTTTCCCATTCAAAAGACAAGGCCACCTAAGAGAAAAGATGATGCCTGAAAAGAGAATGTAAACTCTTCATTTTATTTTTAATTCTTTAGTTTAATGACACAAGGCAGGAGCCACTTCCTGTTTAAAGAGTTGCTACAAATACCATCTGGACAATATTGAATTAGGAAAGACTGCAGGCTCTGGGAGTCCTGCCTTATAATGACCACACCTTGTGGCACCAATTAATGGTTTTGGAAATGGGTTGATTGAGTGCTATATATTTAATTTATTAAGCCAACTTTCCACAATCATGGGCTTCAAGCCACAATTCCTCTTCTAGACTGAGAAAGGTAATTAATGGAGCTTTTAGAAATATAGAGAGAGATGAGGCATGAGCCTGGGCTTTATTTGGTATTGCTGACACTGTTTAATACAAACAAAACACTTTTAAATAATACTTTTTTCACACATTGGAAGGAATAGCCTTGATCAAAGAGGGCAGTGGGATGAGTCGTAGATACAATACAGGTATGTCTCTACTGTGTGACCGTGGACAAATTCTTGTTCTTGCCATACCTCCTACTCATCATCTGTACGTTGAGAATAACAGTGCACTCTCAAAGGGTTGAGGTGAAGTTTAGAGATAATGAATGTGAATTGCTGCACATAGTGTCTGATAGAAGGCAAGTACTAAATACCTGCCATTATGACTTGTAACAAACTTGTAAGCTCTTTTCTTTCTGCTGTGCTTCCTGTGTTTGCCTTTGCTGATGTGTCAGCCTAGAAACCTCTTCTTGTGTCCCCAGAGAATTCTCTCACACTGTATTAGCAAACGTGCCATACATTATCACAAACGCCATAGGAAGTATTGTATAGGCAGTATTTCACATTACTTACCTCTAGGGAATATACACAGCTGGTATGCACCTGAATGGCCAACCAGTGTTAAAATACTGAAATACTTCTTAGTAAAGAAACGCTTTGTAAATGGCTGCTGTCCTGAGCCTCTCCTCCCTTCTCCCTATCTTTGCCCTGAGAATACCTGATCCTCTCCTAGATACTACCATGTAAATAAAAGGATAGTGTTCGGTGTGACTTGGGACCTTGGAGCAGACTGCTCCAGGGCTAAAGCTGGTTGGTGGTGGTTCTGATTAATTGGTTACTATGCAGTCAGTCTCTCCCTAAATAATAATAATAATATTACTACTATTCCCTTTCTCTCTTTGCCCCTATATGGTGATCCTCTGTCCTGTGTTGTCTGAATACTGATCATGGACATAGTTACACACACTTGAATCAGCCAAAGATGTGGACAACAGTAGCACAAAGTGTGGAAGGGGAATTAGAAGTATACTGTTGTGATGTTCTCACTATACATAAGAGTCGTGTATTATTTGAAGATAGACTATGGTAATTAAAAGTGTATATTATAAACCCTAGAGAAGCCATTAAGTAAATAAAAGAGAAATATAGCTAATAAGCCATAGCAGAAAGGTAAGGGAATCATTAAAAACAGTCTAAAAGAAAACAAGAAAAGAGGGAAAAAGGAACAGGAACATATAGGACAAATAAAAAACAAATAGCAAGAAGGTAGATTTTAAGCACACCATATTGACCATATTAAACATTAAATGTAAGTGTTCTAAAAACTTGAATTAAAAGACAAAGATTGTCAAGTTGAATAAAAAAGCAAGATCTAGCTATATGTTGTTTATAAGAAACCCACCTTAAACATAAAGACAAAAATAGGTTAAAAATAAAAAGATGGCAAAAATGTATTTCATTAACACTAATCAAAAGAAAGGTATTTTACTATCATATAAAGTAGACTTCAGAACAATGAATATTAGCAGGGATAAAGAAGAATATTTCAAAATATATAGAGCTCAATTCATTGACAGGACACAACAATCCTAAATTTGTATGCACCTGGTAAGAGAGGTTCAAATACATGAAACAAAGACTGTTTTGTGATTGAAAGGAGAAATAGACAAATTTACAGTTTATAGGTGGAGATTTCAACAATTGGCCCTTAATAAATCATAGCACCAAGTAAACAGCACATCAGTAAAAAGATAGAAGACCTGAACAACACTATCGACCAACTTGGCCTAACTGCCATTTATAGAACATTCCACCCAACAATGAGCAGAATACATGTTTTTCAAGTGTACTTGTGGTATTCACCAAGAGAGCCCCTGCTCTGGGCCACAAAACAACTCTCAATATGTTTGAGAGGATTGAAATCATTCAAAGTATGTGCTCTGACCACAACAGAAAAAAACTAGATAGCAGTAACATCCATATCTGGAAAATCCTCAAACGTTTAGAAATTAAGTAGCATACTTCTAAATAACCCATGGGTCAAAAGTAAATCATAAGACAAATCAGGAAATATTTTAAACTGAATCAAAATTTAAAAACAACAGATTTCCAGCCAAGATGGAGGTGTAGGTAGATACACTTTGCCTCCTCGCACAACCAAAAGAAGGACAACAAATATAAAAACAAAAAATAAGTAGACCTGCCAGAAAATCGAATTGTATGGAAGTCTGACCACCAAGGAGCTAAAGAAGAAACATCCAGACCTGTAGGAGGGGCGTAGACGGACA